GAAATGGGCAATAGGACGGGCGAAAGAGGTTACGCAGGACCAACAGCCGGCACCCGCGGCGGAGGCTGGTAGTGATCGGGAGTCACATTACCGGCCTGGCATGCTTTCTCACGGAGTCACCCGCGAGACCAAGACCGCTCCGAACGGTCAGGCAAAATCGATCAGTCTATTGTCTGTCGACCGACGCGCACGCTTACGTAACGCCAACAATGTCAGTCGCGAAGGGAACGCAGGAGACGCGAGCCCGCCATTGGTTGATAGTGGTGTTGCCACAACTATCTAACGGCCAACGGGCGAATAAACCCACATGCACTGCACACGGTTACAATACGAGGCTGGCCGCGATACGCATTAATAAAAGGTCTGTGGAAAAGTTAACCCTACACTCTGAATATGAAAACGAGTGTTGTTGAAACGTCCCTACAAAATAACTGAGTTCGGTAACTTTCCCCCTCTTCTTCTTCCTCTCCGGGAGATGGTGGACGCGACACAGATAATAATCTCTCAAGCCCATTTCCATTGGTAGGGTCATCATCCTGTTGCAAGATTGACATCAAGTTAAACATGTTCAGCCCTGCTACATCAGCCTACGCCTCGGATAGCGTTTTCGATGGACCTCCTAGTTAACAGTCGGGTTCGCAATAAATGACGAGAAGTTCACTGGAAAACGCAATTTGTTTGTTTTTTTATGTAACTGGCTGCTAATCTAATTAATGATTTGAAACTGCAGACGTTGGCCCCCTTTTCCAACAACTTCGAAAAGCATAAGTGTCTCTTGCGGAATAATGTTGTAGGTTGCGTCTGATACGTACAACAGATTCCCTCCTAATCAAGTAAATGCCGCCTAGATAGCCGTTCTGAAAACCTGGCCCCTTATCTACTGAACTATTGTCAGGTTCATATAAAGGCGAGTTTGAAAAGAAAGTCAGTAAGATACGGTCAAAACTGCGAGTTCGCATTAATTGAACAATAAATAGTATAAAATGCTGTCCGCATCGTTTTTACCTACACCTACTAGCAAGAATCAGCTTAGGCATGAGAATTAATTGCAAGATGTTACAAACCTGTGATGCTTTGAAAAGGACTTTGAAGACTCCTCCATGTCCTGGAGATCAGATTCCCTTGTCGGCTGCATACCGTCTGTAAGAATAGCTTCCGAATTTTCCCAGTTTTCACGAAATTCAAGGACTTTTTTATTAACCTCGTGAAGAAGAACTGTCGGGCCCGATCCACTTTGGTCAGCTACGACGCTTGAGATTCCTTCACTGAGCCTAACTAACTCCTTAAATTTGCCTGGGGCCAGTATGGCACCTGCTTCGAGAAGTAGGGACCGCTGTATGGGGAAAAACAATAAATTTGGATTGATTAACATCTGCACCACTTTGTCTTGCGTCTGAGGCCTCATATGTATGTCATGAATCTGATATAGAAAGCTTACTGAACAGACCATTTCCAAGACTTATGACAGTTACATTTCCTAGTACGTTGCTAACATCAGCTGTGTAAAACTTTCTTACTTTTTGCTTCAATAACCACATAAGGGCACATTTTTTTCAGACAAAGTGATAAGACCTGCATGCTCCTAACTTCACCACACATAATAACGTTGTCTTCCATGCTGCGGTGCTTTAGCACACGTTAGTTTATGAATGGACAAAATCTGAGTGGACGAAGACCACTTTAATATCAGTACCCACCACCTGTTTTGATCATGCCTTACGCGTTTATGACCTTAACGTATTTTTTATTTGGGTCAAACAAAATACGCAGTTAATATCGCCGACTGAGCAAATGAAAAAAGCCACGAAAACTTGCGGTAGCTAAATATTTTTTA